GAAACTTACCAAATAGTTCACAGATAGCTATTATTTATTATAATAGCTATCTGTGAACAAGCACTCGAGGAAGAAGATCTTGGTCTGATAATAAAATGGTGAGACGATCAACAATATAAGATATGCTGACGATACAGTTCTCCTAACGGGAACGCTAGTAGAACTACAACATCTCGTTCAAAGTCTCAATATATACTGTAACAGTTACGGCTTAAAAATTAATTTGAAAAAAACTAAATTTATGGTAATCACGAAATCAAAGAACATCAGAGCTAATCTTGTAATAGACAATACAACGATTGAGCGTGTGCCCTGTTATAAATATCTAGGTGCTTGGATCACAGACGATACTGATCAAACAAAAGAGATTAGATGTAGAATAGAAATCGCTAGATCAGTCTTTAATAGAATGCGCAAACTCTTTTGCAATCGTGATATCAATATAAAGTTACGAATACGAATGCTGCGGTGTTATTTCTTTTCTACCCTGTTATATGGAGTTGAGGCTTGGACACTAAAACAGTTGTCCATAAAAAACATCGAAGCTTTCGAGATGTGGTGCTATAGGCGCATTCTCAGAATATCATGGATGGACCGCGTCACTAACACGCAAGTACTCCAAACTTTAGACAAAAGATGCGAAATTCTAAATGAGATAAAAACTAGAAAGATGGAATACTTGGGGCACATTGTGAGAGGTGAAAAGTACGAACTTTTAAGAAACATCATGCAGGGCAAAATTAAGGGCAAAAGAAGTGTGGGAAGAAGAAAAATATCGTGGCTTCGTAATCTACGTGAATGGTTCGGATGTAGTTCGATTGAACTTTTTAGGCGCGCTGCTAACAAAGTCGCAGTGACCATGATGATTTCCAATCTCCGCTAGGAGTGGCACGAGAAGAAGAAATAGTTTTAACACCTTTCACTCACCTTATTAATTTAATTCTATTAACTGGTGTATTTCCAGAAGTACTAAAATACTCTAAGTACCACCAATCTACAAAAAAGGTGATTCCTCAAAAACTGACAATTACAGACCCATCAGCATTGTTTATACTTTTGGCAAAGTAATTGAAAATCAAACAACAATTTTATTCTTATTTTGACTCAAATAATTACTTTAGCAAAATTTAATGTTGTGAGCGAGGTAATTGAAGGGCTTGAACGCGGCAATCGCATAGCAATTTCTCTTTGCGACTTATCGAAGGCCTTTGATTGCGTTTCACAACATTTTGCTCCACAAATTAAAATACTATGGAATCAGAAATATCCCTCTTAAGCTTATAAATTCTTATCTATGTTTCAAACGCCAGGCGGTAGTGTCTAAAGGTCATCTTTCCAATTTTCTATCCGTTAAAATATGGAGTCTCACAAGGTTCGGTCTTAGGACCTCTTTGGTTTATTATTTATGTCAACGATTTGCCTTATCAAATACAAATACATGATACAACTTATGATACCACATAAGTTGTATCAGGAAAAAAATAATGATGATTTAAAAATGTCTCATTAGGAATTTTCTACTCAATCTAGCTCATGGTTTGCTGCAAACAAACTAAAACTTAACTCTGATAAAACGCAAAATTTGGTTATATCTGCAAGTAATTTACATAATGATCCAGATAACAAAGAGACTGGTAAACTATTGGGAATAACCATAAATAATCGATTAAAAATTACATATTTTTCTTTATTCCACTCTCACCTAAACTATGGCGTAAGCATATGGGGCAATTCAACAAATGCACTTTAAATTTTTATTCAATTCAAAACATCAATATCAAGTTCATCCTGGAACTAGAATCATCCATGTCAATTAATTTTCTTGATCTTACCATTACCAGATTAAATGACCACTTTGACTTCAGTATCTATAGGAAACCCACACAGACTGACCACGTAATACCATTCTCATCTAACTACCCCATGTCACACAAATACGCAGCTTTTCATAGTTACATCCATCGCCTAGAAACCATTCCACTTTCAGTGGAACTACAAAACAAACTTAACATACTGTTGTATTTTTATTAAAGTCTAATTTATTGTCTATGTATTATCAAAAGTTCTACATTTATAACACTTACAAGTTATTTTAAAGTCTTTATTTGTACTAATTTATGTCACACTAATAATTACATAATTTATTTACAATACGAGCATTACATTTAAAACTCGAAGCGGTATTATCTTCCGACTAACCCTGTTTACAACAAAACTCCTCTTTAAATATGAAATTCCGTTAATCTAGAATTTTGTCGACCTTCCTGACCCTTGGCGAAAAGATTAGAAGGTCACGCCATACTGATTTTCATTCGACCTGCTTCCGAAACGTTCAAATCGTAGCAGACCGATCGATTCAGGTAGGTATTACCTAGAATTTTTGCCAGCTGGTAAAATCTAGAACATATCAGAATTAAAAAGAATATTTATGAGACATATTTATCGTAACATTGCCCCCCTCTTAATATATACTGGAACGGTATGCTGGTATCGGCAACTGGACTCTCTTTTACAACTTCCAGTTGTATAAAAATGGCAAGGGACGGTTTTTCTCTCCGCACCAGTAACTATGCGGATTGCAACAGACTAAACACCTGGACTTCGGTGTCTTTAAATATCTCCTCCACTATATTTGGGATAAACCTCCAATCTAATTGGCGGCACTCCAACTTTGGCATAGCTAACTTTTGCACGTCGGTACGTGCTCTCTTAATTGAAGTAAGGCTTCTCATACATTTCGATAGGTAGGTTGGTCACGGGCAGTGCCTTTTGTTACCAGGTAGAAAAGGTAACGTGTTCTATCTTGGAGTTTCAGGGCTTTTCCGGGAGCTTGGACTTGGCATTGAAGTTCTGCAACTCGACCGAACTTCCTTCGAAAGACGGATGCCAACCCTGGTGCGTCTTTGATACAGGCCAGGATGGTGAGGGTCAGTGAGTAGTCATCGAGAAGCGTGAGTAGATCATGCCTTTCTTCAGTGGTAACACCATGTCTTGCTTTACCGGTATCTCCATAGGCACCCATAAATTCCTCACACGTGTGGTCAGACACATCTTGGACTTGGTTTGCCAAGTTGCGAGAATCATCTATCTCATTTTTAATTTGTACCAGCCTGTCACAGAGTGCCTGTGCGCCTGCAGAGATCTTAACCTTGATCTGACCAAATCCACTGAGGCCTTAGACTGGAAGGAAGTCATATTTTCGAGGACATCAAAATTTTCGTCCAGTTGGTCTAATTCTGGGCACCGATCTTGATATAAACGTTAAACACTCCTCTCCAATTTGAAATCGGAGGGCTCAACCAGGACCACCTTAGTGAGAGTATCTGAGGCTTTGATAAGGTTTCCTACTACGACTGTGGATCTCTTTAAAATAAATTTCAGCGGTGAGGAGTTTCCTTGCAGTAATCCCTCCAGGCAGGCTTGGATCTCTCTGTATTATTTTGTTAGCCAATTGACACGTCGTGCCAACTGCGCATGTTTCAGTCTATACATCTATTTTTTTTTTATAGATCAATCAACATCCTTTCTGTCGCTTTGAATCTGTAATTTTCCAACCACTTTCTAATGGACTCCCTTCTAAAGGTTACAGTATTCCTCTTTTGTGTTTGGGCAACATCTTTTATATTATTAGGAGACTTAGGTGTACCATTTTAATATTCAAGTTTTGGCTGACGATTGTAAAATAAAAGAAAAAAGGGATAGCCACAATAACAAAATTATTTTATTTCATTTAAAATTGATAAGAAAGTCTGGTTATTAATATTATTTATTATATTATTATATTATTTTAATTATATTAAATTTTAACAAACTTCGACTATTTCTGGCGTAAAATAATACTTTGACCCTTATCAAATTGTCGCGCACTGTATTATAGGGTTGTCAGAACTTGTCGAAAAATGTTTGTCTGTAGAACTTTATTGAGGGAGAATAAAGTGGTCTCGGGCCAAAGAACAGGCTAGCTGTAGAGCAGGTATATCGCTAAAGTCAAAGAAAATGATGACTAGCATGTTCTATTACATCAATGAATATTGGTAAATTATCCAAAGAAAGTTTAAAGGATGGTTTCGTATTTAATTTATTTTATCATGAAGTATACTAATTCCTGTATGTTGGTTATGTAGTGAAAATTGGAGTCAAATTATTATCATTTATGCTTTTTATAAGTTCTCCTCAGCGTGATATTACTAATCTGAATCTGCATCTTATATGGTTTGCATTCAAATCACTTTCTGCCATGATACGATTATCAAGCTTAAAGCAAATATTAGTTCAATCTTCCCCTTTAATAAATTTACCAGGGACACAACAGACAGTTTGTATCTTTTGCATGCGTACATAAATATTTCCCTTATAGTGTCATTAATGTATTATTGGTTGCCTATAGCTAAGGACAATTTATTTAATTATTTATTACATTTTTTTAATACGAGTGAATTGTGTACCTATTATAAGAAAAGAAAGGTTAAAGAAAAGTTTTATATTTAAAAAGTTTTTAGTAATTTCATTTACTATTCCAAAATTAAACGAGATAGTTATTTTATTTTTACTCTTAATTCAGTATTTTAGTTTTCCAGTGTATTGGATACACATTATTGTAATGTATGCTTTTTATAAGCTCTCCTCAGCATGATATTATTAATCTCCATCTAAAATAATATCTAAGGTATCTAAGGTATGTGCTAAAATGAAACGATGAACCAAAACCAAGCGTATTGAAATAATTAGTGAAATCTTCATTTTTAAATATTTTAGCAGGAGGATAATACACAACTAACATCTTACTTGCGAATTGCATGCTTAAAAATTTTATTTTGTATATATCTTTTAATTAATGTATGCTTAAAAAATAAAAAATTGATTCCACATTGTACCATTTCATGAATGTACTATTGGTTGCCTATTGTTAAGGTTAATTTTGTAAATTATTTACTATATTTCTTCACTTTATACTTTTTACACACCAATATAAGTATGTAATTATTTATTATCAATTTTAGTTAATTCCCTGTCTTCGTCGTCGTCCACATCATCCATCGACGAAGAAGATGACGACCATTTGTTACCAGCCCTTCCCAAAAATTTAAACCACGTGCCTTTAGAATTCGTTAAACTGCCTGTTGACGACTCTTTAACCAGATCTGAAGAGTTCTTTAAGCTAATGAATAAAAGGAGAACTGTGAGACATTTTAGCAACGAAACAGTTCCAGTAGATATCATTCATAATATCATTAAGACCGCAGGTATGTTATAAAGTAACAAAACATTTTAGTTTAGCATTTACAGGTTGCATTATAACTATTTGCAAGGTTTATTCGTTACAGCTTATTTTTCGCATTTTTCAAATATGTATTTTCTTGAAGGCTGGCGTAATTAGTTTAATATCGTTTTTATTACGTTATGGAAACAATATTAAACAACAAACGACGATGATTTCGAAGAAGTGTGCACAAAATGGTATAATGAGGCGAACAGTGACATTAGTGATGATGATGTGGAACTGTGGAAGAAGGAAATTACATAGAAAGTGATCATTTTACGGACAGTGAACAAGAACTAAGTGAAAATGAACAGCAACAAGACTCAGAAATGATATCTAGCGAAGATGAAGAAGAGTGTGCCAATTCCAGCAATTATTACTATGGAAAGAATAGGCATAAGTGAAGTAAAAAGGAGCCAACTAGAAACGTCCGTACGCCTGCTCACAATATTGTTGTACTCCCATCAATCCGTTCAAAAGTAGAAAAGTCAACGAGTCCCGTTTATTATTTTAATAAATTGTTTTCACCAGATTTGTATAGTCTTGTTGTTAAGAGAACTAACTAAAAACCTGCAACTTTTCGGCCAAATTATTAACAATATAAAAAATCTGAGTTGGCTGATACTGATGAAATAGAATTGAGAGCTTTCTTGAGACTGCTTCTTTATACTTCTATTTATAAATCAAATCATGAGGATATACGAAGTTTGTTTGCTGAAAGGACGATCTATATTTAGAGCAGTTATGTCGCAGAAACGTTTCCTGACCCTGATGGCCGCCTTAAGGTTTGACGATGCCTCGGACCGAGAACAAAGAGCAAGGGATAATTCAGCTGCTGCTATCCAAGAATTCTTTGACTTATTTGTACGCAATTCAAAAGATGTATATACGGTTGGGAAAAATGTGTGTGTAGACGAAATGCTGGTAGGCTTCAGAGGCAGATGTCGCTTTAAAATGTATATTCCCAGCAAACCCTGTAAATATGGGATAAAAATCTTATGTATGACTGATGCACGAACTGGGTATTTACATAATGCTTACATTTATGCTGGGAAAGGTTCAGATGGATTTAGCCTCACTAATGAAGAAAGAAGAATGAGCATACCTACTCAAGCAGTTATAAGATTAGTCAAACATCTTTACAATACTAATAGAAATGTAACTGGCGACAACTGGTTTAGTACAGTTGATTTAGTACATCATCTACAACAACATAAACTCACTTACGTTGGCACAATGCGAAGAAATAAAAAAGAAATTCCTCCACAGTTCCTTCCGCGACCAAATCGTAATGAAGGCGTCACTTTGTATGGATTTACCAAAGACCTAACACTTTTTATCCCGTACAACTAAGAAAATAAAGCTGTGATATTAATTTCTTCCGTGCATCATTCCATAGAAGTAGATGCAGATAATGGACTACCAGAAATAAATTCTTTTTACAACTTGACCAAAGGGGGTGTAGACGCGATGGATGAAAAGTGTGTAAAATATTCCTGTAACCGCAGAACACGTAGATGGCCCAAGGCTATTTTTTATAAAATAGTAGATATATGTGGAATAAATTCATACATTATGTTTATTTCGATTCCCGAAAATAATTGGACTAGATTCAAATTTATAGAAACCCTGGCCGATGAACTCGTTTCCTCACATTTGCATAGAAGGTATGAAATGCCAACATTTCAAAGGCAGCTGAAAGAACTGATCGGAAGTATCCTTGATATTCCCGAAAATAAGGCTAACGGAGAAGAAAAGCTTGAAATAAGAAAATATTGCTACATCTGTCCATCCAAATTAAGAAGAAAGACTGCATATTTATGCACAATTTGTCAAAAACCCATATGTTTGCAATGTTCTCGAAAAATTTGTATAAATTGTACCAGGACAGAATAGATTTTTAACGTTTTTAGTGATTTGCAGGTTTTGTGCAAATTGCAATTATGTTGTTTTTAACAATTTTTTATGTAAAATGTACCTATTTTTAAACATACATATATTATATTTGTTTGTATATGTTTAATTTTTTTGGAATATGACTTTAAAAATTTTGTGTTATAAAACATGTTACCATTTTTTCTGTTTTTGTTATAAGTCCTACAGTTTGATTTTTTTCTTTTTCACTAAATAAAAATGACATTACAATATTGTTTTATTTGTTAAAAACTGTTTTATTGCATTTTTGAGGTGCCAGTTTTGCAAAAACAGCTTTTTTTGGCCAGGAGTCTGTCAGACTCATGGTCACCATTTATGTAATTAAAAGTAGGGTCACCAGTTAAGGGTTAAGTAAATAGCTTCTTACTAAGAGTATACATTTGTAAGCATAAGAGTTCGCACTGACAAAAAATAGTCAAAATCAATTATATTATAAACCATTTACTATTTTAGGAACAGCTCCTAGCGGTGCCCATACTGAACCCTGGACTTACGTCGTAGTGAGCTCTCCTGAAATAAAACAAAAAATTAGAGAGATAGTCGAAGCCGAAGAGGAATTGAACTATAAGAAGCGAATGGGAAAGGTGTGGACTACTGATTTAAAACCTTTCAAGACGAACTGGTTGAAAGAGTATCTTACAGAAGCCCCTCATCTCATTCTAGTTTTCAAGCAACTATACAGTTGGAGACCAGATGGAAAGAAGAAGATGCATTATTACAATGAACAGAGCGTTTCGTTAGCTACGGGAATTTTATTAGCGGCCATACATGTAAGTATTTTGGTTACTGCGTTATAACTGAAAGAAGAATGTAAAGAATGTAAGATAGTACTTAATAATGGATATTTATTTATTATTACTCTCATGTTTCTATTGTTTTCGATAGTTTGCAATATTTTTTATTAACAAAACAAATATTGCAAACCATCGATAACAATAGCAACATGAGAGTATTGAAATCAAATTTGGCTAAAGGAGAATCAAAGATAACTAAAATCAAAAACCAACAGGGGAATACGGTGACGGAAAAAACTTAAATAATCAAGGAAATACAAACGTTCTATGAGAATATTTTTTACATCTACTATTCGCTCCGTGCGTGACCATGGTAGGGGTACATTGAAACGACGCCAGCGTGCATAGCGACGAAATATGACAAAATTGGAATATTGGACAAAATATTTTTACGCATAAATTTTATCAAAAATGTGTGCAAATACATGTTGCGTATTTAATTGTGCTAATAATAGCAAAAACAGTGAGTGTAGTTTTTATAGGTTCCCAAAGATTACATATAAATTAGAGAAAAGAAAAAGATAAATTCCTGCTATTAATATGAAAAAGTAAATATCACATAATTTCATTTTTACGCAATTGAAATAGGAAAAATTAAAATAATTTACCTTGAATGATATTTCATAAGGCTTCAAGCTAACTGCAGATGACTTTAGCTTTTATATCATAACTTTTATTATTATTGTTTTTAATTATATGCTCTTTTGCGTGAAAAACTTGATTTGTCAGTACTAGATTTTTCCCTTTCTCTTACGTTTGGAGTTGAAAAGATATATTATGATGAATTTTGAGAAACCCAGTTTTTAATACTACATTTATTTTGTACATAAACTGAAAAAATATAGTTAAAAAACTAATTTATTAATAATTGTCAATTTCGCATATATTTAACAATGTCGAACATATGTCATATGTTTAACCTGAAAATTGGGACTCCAAAATTGTCAGAAAAAGGCGGTAGGTGTCGTGTCAGTCACGCACGGAGCGAATACAGAACCCCGGAACAGACCATAGAACAATTCTAAACGTCGGCTCAGAAACTCTCCCTAAAATAACTTCTTCAGAAATTAGACATCCCTTACAGCAAATAAGAAATAAAAAAGTTCCTAGTAAGGAAAGTATAACGTCTGAAATGTTAAAAATGGGCGGCAAAATCGTTGTAGAGGTTGTGGAAGTTTGGTTGAATAACATTCTAACAGAAAAAAGAATCGCCAGTCTGTGGGCAAACGCCGAAATAATACTTTTATACAAGAAATGAGACACTGAGACACTACTAATATTGAAAATTACAGATCTATAAGTTTTTTGTAACACTTATACAAATTGTTAACAAGAATAATAAAATGTATAACACAAAAACTTGATTTATATCACAAAAACACAAAAAACAAAAACTTGATTTATATCAAGCGGTTGAACAGACAGGATTTAGAAAAGGATTTGGTACTACCGATCATTTACAAACCATCAGAACAATGGTAGAAAAAACCACAGAATATAATGTACCTCTACATATGACATTTATTGACTTTCACAAGGCCTTCCATAGTATTGAAACTTGGTCCTTTCTGTCAGCCCTAAGTGATGTTTGAATAGACTCACGGTACACTACACTTATTAAAAACATTTATAAACAAGCCACATTCCTCATCAAAATCAATGAAAACGAAAAAACTGAAAAAATGCGTCTTGGTAAAGGTATTAGACAAGGTGATACTATTTCACCAAAGCTTTTTACCTTAGCATTGGAAAATATAATCAAACAGCTCGACTGGGAGAAAAAAAGGTCTAAACATTGATGGTGTACGTTTGAGTCATTTAAGGTTTGCGGACGACATAGTATTATTTAGTAAAGATATCAAGGAACTGGAGCAAATGCTCAATGAATTAAATCAGTAGTCAAATAAAATAGGTATTAAAATGAACCTTCAGAAAACAAAAATAATAAGTCAATTGCAAACAAATATTGTTATTGATAACGTCAGTCTTGAAAATGTAGAGCACTATATATATCTTGGACATACCACTAAAATCGGCAAAGAAAACCAAATAGCCGAAAGAAAAAGACGCATACAATTGTCTTGGGTAGCTGTAGACAAGCTAAGCTTTATCTTGAAGAAGTTTATGACAAATGTATTTTGCCTGTAACTACATATGGACTGGAGACCATGGCCTTTACAAAGAAAACCTTAAAGCAGCTCAATACAACCCACAAAGCGATGAAGAGGCACATGCTAGGGATTAGTTTGAGAGATAGAATTCGAAATATCGACATTCGTGAAAGAACAAAGATTACTCAAACGTCGCAGAACGTATAGCAAGGTTCAAGTAGCAATGGGTCGGACATGTTGCCCGAGATAATCCCGAAAAATGGACACAGAGATTAACAAACTGGAGACCAAGAGAGAACAGGCCAAGAGCAGGCAGACCACAGAAGAGGTGGGCAGATGATATTGGGCAGAGTTGAAACAAAAGCGAAAGCAGTGAAACGAAATTTTACAGATTGCGAAAATAACAAAAATATTGGAAAAAAATAAAAAAAAACTAAACAAAATAGAAGGACATTTATATCTGAAGAAGAGCTTTCTAAGAATAAAAAAAAAAACAGAAAATAAAGAAAACTATCAGACCAAAATTCGATTTTGATGAAACATCGTCAGAAGATCTACCCACTGTGTTTGCCAATGAGGAGAAATGTTTAATTTGTGGAGAATTTTGAGACACTGAACTTTGTTATCGCTGTACACTTTGCTCGAAATGGGCTCATTCTCAATGCAGTGGAAAAGACAGTGCCAAAAATTATGTTTGTCACTTCTGTGAATAGAATTGTAGGCTGTTTTTGGGTTATGTTTTCATTTATCATTCATTATACTGTTATTTTTTTATGTTTCCAAATAAAATTTCAATAAAGATATTTGCTTAGAACATATTTTATAGAGAAGTCTTATCCATTATTTCTGTTTGGTAGGTGGCGCCATTACCCCCTAGGCCTGGGGCAATGCCGTCACCTTACACAAAAAAGTGTTGTTGCATTTATTGTCGCTTAATCAAGGCGAATGAAAAATTTCTGAAAACTAATTTAAGTTAAAAATTTAGTTCTTAGATCGTTAGCATAGCTACATATTTCTTTCATCTCAAAATTAAGTCACAAAAAATGCTGATCTTTTAAGGTGACGCCATTACTCCCGCCCTCCCCTACACAATGTTTTGAGTTTATAGAAAAAATACCGGGCACTTAACCTGTTAAAAAGCTTGAGTGAATATAATGGATTTATCATCATCATCATCATCATCATCAACATCATCATCAATGGCGCTACAACTCGTGAGTCTTTGCCACGTTTACTATTGCCTTCCATGTTTGTCGGTCCTGTGCCAGTAATTCCCATTGTCGCACTCCCATTTTCTCTTCTTCTTCTTCTTAAAGTGCCCTCTCCTCAATGGAGGTTGGCTACTTACAATTTTAAACTCTTCTCTATCTTCAGCTGTTCTTATTAGCTGTTCAAAATTTAGCCCTGTCCATTGTCGGATGTTTCTGAGCCGTGATAGTCTTTTCCTTCCTAGGCCTCTCTTTCCCTCGATTTTTCCTTTCACTATAAGTTGGGCATATTGGTACTTATTATTTCTCAGTATGTGGCCTAGGTATGATGTTTTTCTTACTTTTACTGTGTTAAAAAGTTCTCTTTCCTTGCCTATTCTATGCAGCACTTCTTCGTTTGAGGTATGCGATGTCCATGAAATTTTGAGTATTCTCCGGTAGATCCACATTTCAAAGGCCTCCAATTTATTTACGGTTGATGTTTTAAGGGTCCACGTTTCAACTGCATATAGAAGAGTCGACCAGACGTAGCATTTTGATAAACGTAGTCGAATTTCGAGTTTTATTCGAGAATCACAAAGCAGTTTTTTTATTTTTTCGAAAGATTTTCTAGCCTGTTCTATTCTCGATCTTATTTCTTGATCAGGATTTAGGCTGCTATCGATCCAACATCCCAGGTACTTAAATCTATTGACCTGTTCTAAGATGTGCCCATTTATTGTGCAAGGTTGAGGTAAGTTTTGGTTTTTTCGGATTGACATCACTTTGGTTTTTTTAATGTTTATTTTCATACCAAATTGCTCACAGGTCGAGTTGGTCTTGTCGATGAGTCGTTGTAGACCTGAGTCGGAATCCGCAATTAACACTGTATCATCGGTGTATCTGATACTGTTGATATTTACGCCATTCACCTTGACTCCATCCTTGGAATCCTCCAATGCTTCTTTAAATAGAAACTCGGAGTAAAGATTAAACAGCAGAGGCGACAGAACACATCCCTGTCTAACTCCCCTCCTAATTTCTACTTCTGCGGATGTGGAACCTTCGATCCTAACTCTGGCTTTTTGGTTCCAGTACAAGTTTTTTAAGAATTTGATGTATTTTCCATCTAAACCGACTTCTTGCAAACGTTCTAATAGTAGGTCGTGTCTTACTCTATCAAATGCTTTTTCGAAGTCTATAAAGCATATAAATATATCTTTCTGTTGGTCGTAGCATTTTTGGGCGAGAACTAGTAAACTGAACAGGGCTTCTCTCGTTCCCATGCCGGCTCTGAATCCAAACTGATCGTCTCCGATGATTGTTTCGCACTTTTTATAGATACGATTATGTACGATTTTTAGTAGGACTTTTACAGCATGACTCATAAGGCTTATCAGACGGAACTCATTGCAGTGTTGTGGGTTTGGCTTTTTTGGTAGTGGGATGAATATTGACTCCAGCCAATCTTTAGGTATTTTACCTGTATCATAAATGCGATTGAATAAAAGGACAAATAATTCGATATTTTCTTCGCTGATTAATTTGAGCGTTTCTGGGTATATTCCGTCTGGACCTGGGCTTTTATTTGTTTTGAGATGATTAATTGCATTTATGATTTCAGATTTCAGAATTGTTGGCCCTATCGTTGTTATTTTCCAATCTTGGTTCTTCTCGTATGTCGTGAAAAAGAATTTTAATATAGTTTTCCCATTCTTTCAGTTTATCTTCCGTTGATTCTAGCAGTTTGTCATCCGTGTTCAGCATGGTGTGAAAAGTCGTTCTCTTGGTAGTCGATGTAAACTCTTTTACCTTTTTATGTAAATTAAAAAAATCGTGCCTTTGTTGCCGTTCTTCTATTTCAACGCATTTTGTTTCCAGCCATTTCTCTTTTGCTTCGGTTATTTTTTTTCGAATTATTCTATTTAGTCTTTTGTATTCTACGTCCTTGTCATTTTTTCCTTTAGATTCTCTTCGTTTGTTCATTAATTGTAAAATCTCTTCTGTCATCCATTCCTGTTTGTTATTTCTAGGTGTTACTTTTAGATGTTTTTCCGTTACATTGTTCATTTGTTCTTTAATAGTTTTCCACAGAACGTTTATATCATCGTATTCTCTAATTCTATTGTGGTCAATATTTCCTAAATTTTTGTTTAATTCTTAATTTACTGTCTTATGTATGGTGTCGTTTTTCAATATTTGGATGTCTAATAGTTGGTGTTGAGGATTTTGTTTCTTTATTAGTTTCCATCTTGCGCGAACTTTTGCAACAACAGGATTATGATCGGAATTGATGTCAGTTCCAGGATATGTTTTTTGCACTGATGATTGCATTGTGATATCTTTTGTTGACCAATATGTAATCTATTTGGTTACGGATTACTCTGTTTTCGTTGTGTTGTGGTGAAGTCCATGTGTACCATCTGCGAGGGTGTAATTTAAACCATGTATTTGTCACTACCATGTTGTGTTGTTGGCAGAATTGGCATTGGAATTGGCCATTTTCTCTAGATCTTCTTTGACTGCATTCTTCCACCTTTTCTAGGCTGCCCTACAGACCTTCTTCCATCTGGCCTTTCCAGAACACATTGTTTATAAGGCGATTGTCGTTACTGCGTACATTCCCTGCAAATCTGAGTCTATTGGCCTTTATATATCTGACTAGATTTTCTTTTCCGAATAGAGACTCTAGCTCGTTATTGTATCTGCCCCTCCATTCGTTGGTAACGCTGTCTCTGCAAGGGCCATATATTATTCGAAGAATTTTACGTTCCCACACCAGCAATTTATTTACTTCTCTTTTTGTTAGCGTCCATGTTCTACACGCGACTTCTGGTCGTATTATGGTCTTATATATCCAGATTTTTGTACCTCGTGAAAGAAGTTTTGACTTCATTAGATGTTGCATTGCAAAGAAAGATCTGTTTCCTGCCATTATTCTCGTTTCAACTTCTCGCTCTAATTTGTTGTCATTTGTGATTGTTGCTCCTAGATATTTAAATTCTTTAACCACTTCAAAGTTGTGATCATTCATGGTAATGTTTTGCCATATTCGCCGTCGTTCTTGTTTTGAGACGACCATGTATTTTATTTTGTCTTCATTTATTTTTAGACCGATGTTTGATGCAGCTTCTTCAAAGCTCGAGAAAATATCCATAATTTCTAATGTTGATTGTGCTACTGCGTCTACGTCATCGGCAATGGCGAGTATGATTTTTGCTCCCTGAGCAGTTATGTCTGGTTTGATTTTTGGATATATTTTTCGCATGACATATTCTAAGGCTAGGTTAAACAAAAATGGAGACAACGGATCTTCCTGTCTCAGTCCAGTATTTACACAGAAACATTTGATATTTTCCCTATTCTTCTTCTTCTTCTTCTTCTTCTACTTTTTGTAGATCTTTCGATCTGTTTAATTCTGAAGCTGCCTCTGGTTAATTTCTTGGGAGGTAGATTGCCAACTATCCCTCCATCTTTTAGGTGGTCTTCCGGGGGGTCTTGAACCAGGCGGATTGTTTTCTAGGGCAATTTTTGGGAGTCTATTCTCATCCATTCGTCTTACATGGTTGTACCACAGCCTCTTGCGCTGTCTTCCCCATCTTACAATATCTTGAATTTTGCACTGCTCTCTAATGTTTGTATTTCTCACTCTGTCCCTTCTTGTTTTTTCCATTATTGTTCTTAGGGTTTTCATTTCGGCAACCCTTAGCATCTGTTTCGTTTTGTTGGTATCTTCGCGCACTTCTATGCCATATGTCATGATCGGTCGTATGCAAGTCTTATAGATTCTAATTTTACTATCTGTGCGCATATACGGATTAGACCAGACTATCTCCCGCAGACATCCTGACAGTGCAGATGCTTTGTTGATCTGACTCCTCAGGTCCTTTACTGGGTCATGGGTGCTTCATATATCTATGCCCAGATATCTGAATTGCATCACCTGTTCTATGGGGTTGTCCTCAACCACTAACTTACATCTGAGCGGATCTTTTGCTATTGTCATACATTTAGTTTTGTTGGTAGAGATGTTCATATTTAATAGTCGGCTTGTTTGAAAGAACTGAAAGAGCTGCCTTTGGAGATCATCTTCTGATTCGGCAATAATTGCTGCATCGTCTGCGTAGCACACCATACCAATTCTTTTGTTGCCCATTCTATATCCGAGATTAAGAGATGTTACTTTGTTGATAATTTTGCCCATGAGAAGATTAAACAAGAAGGGGCTTAAACTGTCGCCTTGTCTAATTCCTCCCGGTGTTGGAATATTTTCAGTGAATTCGTCTCCTGCTCTAACTTTGGTTACGTTGCTGTTATTTAGGTTATGGAGTATCTTTGTTATACTGGTCAGTGTTTCATTTTCTATTAATATATTTAGAATGTCTCCCAGGTGAACTCTGTCAAATGCCTTCGTCAAATCAATGAAGCAAATATACGCTGGCATGCCGAACTCTATAGCTTTTTCTTTTATTTGTTTTATTACAAATACCGCGTCTGTTATAGACCGCCCTTTTGTAAAACCTTGTTGTTCTTCAGCATTAGTGATTTGCTTTTCCAATTTGTCCTTGAGAATACCCGTGAAAAGTTTCATTGTTGTATTTAAGAGGGTTATTCCTCTATAGTTTTGTGGGCAGGTTTTTTGTCCTTTTTTAAATATGGGGATTGTGATACTATTATGCCATTCCTCTGGTGTTTCTGTTTTGTTTAATATTTTGTTAAATAGTTGTGCCAGTTTACTTGCAAGTTCCGGGCCTCCATATTTTAAAAGTTCATTGGGTATACCATCCGTTCCCGGTGATTTTCTGTTTTTTAGCTTTTTGATCTTTGCTTCTACTTCTTCGTCATTGATTGTAGCACTCACATATGTTTCGCCTTCGTTTATATTCAGCGTTTCTTCAGCATCATATAGCTCTTTAAAATGTTGTTGCCATGTTTCTAGAGGTACTCCTTTGGTCTGCACGAACTCGTTAACTGGTTTTTTCCTGTTGCGGAGCATTTTCCATACTTTCTTTTGGGCACCATATAGGTCGTAGTCCATGTCGCAAGTAAATTTGGCCCAATGTTCTCTTTTGATTGATTTTATTCTGGCGTTTATTCTTATTATGGCCTATTCTAACTTGTGTAAAAGAGTTACTTACACACATTTGTGCTACCGCAGCTAGTTTCTTGGGTAGGCCGAGCTCGATCATTGCCTTCCATAATGTTGCACGATTAATTGAATCATACGCTGTTTGAAGTCTATAAAAATGTGTCTATAAAAATAATGGATTTATGTATATATGCAAACAAACATATTGCACATTGCACATTTTTTTAAATAATCATTTTTACTAAAAATCCTAATTTATAAACAAAAAATGCAAAAAAAACAAAATACTCATAATCCAGATTTTACTTAAAAATTTATTGAAAATTCTAATTTTTTATTTAATTTTTAGTATGCTGGTTTAGTATCTCTAACTTCGACACCTCTCAACTGTGGCCCAGCACTAAGAACTCTTCTGGACAGACCCAGTTCTGAGAAACTAACGCTTCTCATACCAGTAGGTTATCCAAAAGAAGATTGTCTCGTACCGGATTTAAAACGCAAAAGTTTGGAAGATATTTTAGTGAAGTTTTAAATATATATCACGATTGTGAATGATTTGTTGAGTGTGTAAAATTTTTATATACCCGATGAGCTACCCATGGATTCTGACGGTATACATTGGTGATACTTATGCACAATAGTTTAAGATGGTTTTCAAGGAAGTACAAGTTTTAAATAAAATATATATTGTGTAAGTTTTTTATTATTTCTTTGATGTATTTGATGATTGAAACAATATAAAAGAACTCTAAACTAACACTGTTTTTCAATTTTATAAGCATCTGAACTTTGCCAATCAGAAAAGTTGAGAGGAATATCTACTAATTTCTCATAGAAGTGTGGTACAAGTACAATACTGTCTTCATGCATTATTGCAGGTATTGAAGAAGATGTATTTACACCCCTTATCTGCTTAATTAAAAAATCCTCCCACTCCATCCAACATTTATTTGCTCTTTACTTTTATTTCCACACTTTACTTACGAGGCTGCTTCAGATTGTGCCTGTCTAGATTGGACTAAAGAATGTCAGGTTCATAGCAAAGTTATTCTCCAACACTAAGATTCCCTTATCTAAACAAGATAAAACCAATGTAGTCTCTAGGTCCCTTGTCGGGATCGTGAATTGTCCTATATTGGACAAACTGGTTGTTCCTTAAAAGAACGTATTATTTCTCATCGAAGTGATATCAATTGTTCTAAATACACGTGTGCCTTATACACATGTTTTTTTAACAAACCACTAAGTTGATTTTGAGAGTACAGAGATTTTAGCCACTGAAAATAATTATTTCAAAAGAACTTTCCTTGAGATGTGTCACATTCTCAAACAGCCTTCAACTATGAATAGGCATAATAATATTGAATATCATGAATGTGTTGCTTGTGTGAGTCCATTTCAAATAGGTAAATAAATAATAAATAAGACTTACAATCAATTTAATTTAACTATCAGACGACCGGTTTCGCTTTCTACAATATGCAAAGCATCCTCAGGTCTCGATACAAAGTTAAATAAATGCTGAAATGATAAAAACCCATATTAGGGTGTTGTCTAATAAATATAAACAAAGTAGATGTTGTAAATTACAATAATTATGCCAATATTACATGTCTGTGGTTTTATTTCAAAAAGAGTAAGTTGAATAAAAAGGTATAAAAGTTTTAAAAGTTTAAACAGACAAGGTAAGGCCCACAAATTGTTATAAAATAGTATATTAGATTGTAATAAATTAATAAATGAGCCAATAAATAAAAATAAACATTACTTACATGCCGGTACTCTATTAATTGATGGATGGTAGAACATGGTTGAAACTACTATGTATTGTTGAATGGAGAACTCAATTCTGCTATTGTAGTTGTTTGACAGTAAACGGGAAGTTCTTGAGGAGATAGATTTGATCCAATGAAGCGGAGATATGTGTGTGATTGTTTGTTAAATGAAAGTGATATAATTTACCATTGTAATATTAAAAGTTATTTATACTTATTCGAGAGATATATTTATGAAATGTGTGTTATTTATAAATAACAATAAATAATAATATATAACACATATTATAACTAACACATAAATAACACACATTTCATAAATATATCTCTCGAATAAGTATAAATAACTTTTAATAATACAATGGTATATTACATCACTTTCATTTAACAAATAATCACACACATATCTCTGCTTCATTGGATCAAATCTATCTCCTCAAGAACTTCCCGTTTACTGTCAAACAACTACAATAGCAGAATTGAGTTCTCCATTCAACAATACATAGTAGTTTCAACCATGTTCTACCATCTATCAATATTGGAGGGTGCCGGATTACAACATTCCTTCCATGGAGAGGCTTGTATGTAACAGTGTCTCTTTCAGTGGTTTTATTTTTGCTGTAAGTCCAATTAGTCCGCTAGCCTTCGACAGCTCAGTAGAGAAACTAAAATGGACTTTCAAAGTTGCTTTTATCTGGCCTGTTGAATTGATATAGTGAAATAAAACAATTACTTGTTTAGAAAGAAACTGTAATTGAAAAAGAAAGGGCAAGAAATAGAGATTATAAAATTTGAGTGTGTAACTTATCGTAGGAACTTAATTTGAATATTACAATTTGCGAACGAAAGCAAAAACACCATAACACTTATTCACATATTACGGCTTCCCGGTCAATTGCTTAAACTGCAACGTGGAGAATCCTCTCCGAACTTTTGAAATATAGATGTTAGCCCTACGAAAGTCGCTAAATCACTAGCCCCGCTCGAATATTTTTTTGTTTATGCATTTTGAAAAGCCGGTCTGTCGTCAAGAAGGCGCTGTGGGCGGGGATTAACATTCTCAGAAACAAGGTCTAGGTAGACTGGATTTATTTAGGTAACCGACGCGAAAATAGAATCATTTGATACAAAATAGAATTATTGGTTGGAGATATAGTTCTCCAACAAATATCATGTTGTTACATTTAACAACTTAAAAAAATACGTCTGAGAATAGTTTCAACTCCTCATGCCAGACAGCATATAATACCTTCTTGTCGTTTGGATGAGTTTAATATCTAAATTCACGAACTGTTGCACTTTTCATGTAGGTGTGTCACATTCTTGTCAACTGTAAACACTGTAGTGATTTCGCAAGATCAAAGGTTTGATTACATCAATTTATTATAAAACACCATTTATTTTTTATAAAATCACTGTTTTCGTGGAGATCATGAATAAAGTGGGTGCTTCCAATTTCGTTATACTTTTTCTCGGGATTGTTCGGTGATTTTGTTTGTTGTTTGAGATTATTTTTATTCAAAATTAACAATAGCATCTATCTTTCAAATTATTAATAATAGTTTTGTAAAACAAACAACATGTAAAATATTAGAATCTATGGAGAAGCTATGAGCATATTAACGTATGTATTAAAAACGGCGTAGGTAGGCGTGGCTAACGATAATACCAATATGGCGGTGGGATCAGGGCCAGACTCAATAATATTAAAAATCCTATACAAATATGACTAGATATTCAGAAGTTTTAATCATAATCTACAAAAGTGCAATAAATTTTATTAAACTATGATTTATTTATAATAAAGAGATAATAAATAAGATAAACACTAAAAACACGATATATTATACATAAATATAAATTAATACAGTCAAATACTATTAATTTATTCTTTGAAGTACGGGCCATTACTTTGTCTACATATTTGTATACTAACCTGTGGAACGATATTCCTGAAATTTTTTTATTAACATTGCTTCTGCTACTGCAACTACGTTGAGAACAAGAAACTATTATTATGCACTATCACAATACATTATTACAGTTTCTATAAAAGTATTATAAAACTAAAAATATTTGAAAAACAACAAATGTAAATAAACATATACGATCTGTCAACAGTGTCAAAACAATATTAACAATATGGCCGAAGTGAGGCCGTTTTTAGTCACGTGATGCCCTCTCCATAGATTCTAACTCGATGGTTGCCTTTTAGAGTCGGTGCTCTCTGAAAACTACAACCTGTCGATAGCTCTAATTGCAGCTGGCAATTAATATCATCCAAATTTATTTAGAAGTTAGTCTTCGTAAATGGGTATATTTATTTAAAAAACCTTAAAAGGGCTACATCAATAAAACAAACGTTTTCGGACCACACAGTCCATCATCAGGTTTTAAAATCGAAAAATGCTAGGTCACAATGCCTGAGCCACCAAAATACTAGGGTAAAAACCCTTTAAATTACATTTAGTTATAAAAGATTATACATTGTGTTGTAAAATAACTGTGATGTTCAGTATTAAATTAAATTTGGCTAGAGGTAACACATGGCTGAAGCGAGTTCCAGAGCCGGTGAGAGAACCTCTACACGCGGAGAACAGCTGGAACAACAGCTCGTTCTCAGTCGGTGCTCTCTGAAAACTACAACCTGTCGATATCTCTAATTGCAGCTGGCAATTAATATCATCCAAAATTATTTAGAAGTAGTTTTGAATTCAGTAGTATGAAATTCATAGGGTGTCAGGCCATGGAGTTGGGTTGTCTCTATTATAAAAATGACGCGCACCCTATCATCCATGCTATGGCATGCTGGACGAACCATACAGTCTGTAGTCAACACCCCGAGGTATGATCGGGAACACAAGGTGCATTAATACTCATACGCTTATGAAACGCACCTGGCGCATCATAAGGGCCTTCACAAATTACTCTTTTTGAACTTGTCTTGAGTGATATGTCTTTAATCTTCCCTAACAGCCTCTCTTGGCTAACTCTTGTTTCTTCCGACCCCGAGTGGCTATTAGGTTTCCGAGGGCAGAGTTAGCAGTTTCACTATACTTCCTTCTACCTCATACTGTTCAGTTGTGCGAGTCATTCAGTGTGGCGAGTCATTCACCGAGCGATTGCTGGTATAAGCAATCCCCCACTTACTGACCAACGGCTTCAGGCGGAGGTGTTTGTAAGTGGTAGAACACTCTTTTGTCCTAAGGTTGTGAAATCGGCCTCGAAGGCGGATGAACCAAAGATTTGATCAAAGGTATAAGGATGGGGAGGCACAAGTAGGGTAAATACTCCATTAAAGATCCACAGCGATACGTCGTAGTTAATCAATCATGGCAATGCTCAATACTAAAATAAATTCCTGAGTAAGTCCTCAGATTCGGTCTCCGGGGAAGACAGTTTTGAGTTTACCAAAAGATAATAAATTGAAGTGCAGAAATAATATCAAGATCTGCACATGGAATGTCAAAACTTTATACAAAGCAGGAAAATTCACAATGCAATACATGAGATGAAGAGAATGCATATTGAAATTATGGGAATAGCAGAAATGAGAGTCTGTCCAGATTCTGGAGAAATACAAATAGAAGATCACAAGGCATATTACTCGGGAAAAAGTGATGGATCACATGAATATAGAGTCGGATAATCGTATCACACAAGGTTGCCAAATGCGTTACTCACTTTACACCAATATCAGACATTGTGATGTTACTACAAGTAGATGCCAACCCTATTAATATAAACTGGGATATAAACAGGAAGACGAAACAGGAAGAAGAAGAATATCTTAAAGAACCTCAGAATCTGGTTCAATACAACACGCGCTGCGTGCAAATAAGTTAAAGATTGTCATGATGATCGCCAACATTCGTAACGGATAGTGAAACCTCAATACTCCGGGAGTATTGGATTTTAGGAAGTGTAAGACTTCCAAATTCCAGAAGAACTAGAAGAGAGGTGATGAAACTACTAAAAATAT